CTTTTCAATGTCGTTCTCTCTCCTTTCTTTTCAATCCATGCTGGGCGGCTCTTTCGAGAGCCAGGGAATGAGACACAAAGTCCCTCTGCAGGCCCAGTCTGTGTCGCAGTGCTCAGCACCGAAAAGCAAATGTTAAAATGTATCACTCTGTGTTGTTCATTAAGTTGTATGGTGACTTAGGCAGGTTGAGTGGCTGTCTTTCTTTGCTGCTCTGTGAAACTTCAAAAGTATAGCCTGCCTTCCGTGTTGGGTTGGTGGAGCTGATTATTCTAAATTTAGTCCCACTCTTGTAATTGTCATTGCACTGGCTGTAATGAATTCATTTCTTTCTTTTTTTTTCCGTTTGGATGTACACTTGAAGGTTTTGATCAGCTTTCTGTTTTTGGTTGATGGAGGAGATTGTGAATGAAATCTAATCTGTGTACCGTAAGGCAGCTTGTTAGTGGTTCATTTTTGTGTACTACTTCAGAATGTTTTTCATCTGTAAGTAAATTAATCCTCCATTATTGATTTGTTATAAAATATGTAAATTAATTTTTGTCCATTCCTTTCTTTTCAACAGTGGACTTTTCTTCAGTATTTTATGCAATACTCGCTGCCCAGTATACTTTTATTTGTAAAGCACTTCCTGGTAAGACATGTTTGTGTATTATATTGACAGAGTGGGGAGCAACATGAAGTCCAGTATAGTAACTTGGATTTTTTCTTTTCCAGAATTTGCATTCTAAATTTCTGCCTTAAAGGACCATCTCTATCATTCCCTACCTGAGAAGTGTCGTGCTGTTTTGCTTGCTGCCTCATCCTACCAACAAAGCTAAGTGTCTTGTTTTGCCCTTTGTTTTAATTTCCCTTTCCTTTGCATACCCATAGTACAGATGTCATTGTTAAAATTGGGTTATTTTGGTCTATTTAGGAGCGGAGTATGATATCCAAAATTAACTTTAAGAATGCAATGCCCCTTTTCTGAATCTGGTAAAGCCTGTTTTCTACAAGTTTTAATTTGTGTTGTCGAATGCTTCCAACTTGGGCATGGAAAAGTTTACTTTACCCCACCCCGTACAGGACTTATATGTCTAACTGACCTTCATTTGCACTCGTGGGTTTAAGAATTAGCCTCACCTTGTATCTCTTACCTCAATCTTACCATTTGCCAGATATTTGGGACGTGCCTCAGGAGCGTTGCTTAGTCTGCACTGGACAGAAAGTGATGCATTGATGTAGCACCTTGTGACCCAGATGATAGGTTTCTCGCATCACCCCTGATTCTATATTCACTTGCCTACATAGAAGCGGTTATTGTTTTAAAGTAAGGCTAGTTTAGTTGATCGATGACTGGGGATGATATCTTTGCCCAGCAAATAGTAAAGAGGGATGGTCCGTAGATACTTCCCTGAGGTACACGATTTTTAACTTCTTTAAAAGAAGACTTTTTACTATTAAAGTATCACATTAGGGTTGTGTGGATGCTGCCTGTTGTCTTAAAGATATGTTAGGGTTATAAGCTATATCTCAGATAACATATTTACCTGGAATGTTCAGTAGAATTTTGTGATCAACGCTATCAAAGGCTTTACTCAGAGCAAGACAAAGACCTACCTTTTTAAGACTAGTGCATTAACATTCATTAAATCTTTGGATTAGAGAAGCACAGGCATCTATAAATGAGGTTCCTTTTTTTTTGTGTGTTTTTTTCTTTTTGTGGTAACCATATTGCTTGTTGAAGATAATATTCTGATTATACGGCAATGTCTTGACCCCGTCAATATAAATATTCTAAGTTTATCTTCGTGATTTTTTGACATCTTCATCCTTCAGTTGATTGTGTGACTGTTGAATAACTTGATTGGCTGTCAGTAATATGAGAGTGTAGTTTCTATGGAAACTATATGGAGGCCAGGTGTTTCCTAGGAAACTGGTGACTGGTAACGTTTTTCTGTTCAACTATATCAACGGTTGCGATAAATACTAATCAATAGGATGATACATATTTTAACCTTTGCCCAGTACGTGCTCTTGCACCCTTCCACCCTCTTCCCCCTTTTCAATGTCGTTCTCTCTCCTTTCTTTTCAATCCATGCTGGGCGGTTCTTGTGAGAGCCAGGGAATGAGACACAAAGTCCCTCTGCAGGCCCAGTCTGTGTCGCAGTGCTCAGCACCGAAAAGCAAATGTTGAAACGTATCGTCTTGTTTCTATCTTGGATTTCTGTAGAGGAAAGTAACTCACCTCGTTGATGGTGATAGATTTTCAAGCGGCAGCAGCAGCACATGGGAGTGGGACCATGTTAACTTTAAAATTAAGATGTACTTAAAAAAAAAAGAGATTCATACTTGGGACATCTTTTAGCTTTAGTACAAGCATTCTAATATTACTTATGTGTTGAGCCAGCCATTGTGTTTAAAAAGCTACAGCAGCCCAAAAAGCGAAGCAGTCCACCATGCCCCCCCCCCCTTTTTCCACTTAAGTCACTTCAGAACTTTCTGGTAGAGACAGCCACTAGGGACTGTCTGAAAACTACAACTTAGCAGCATAATTCAGAATGATACTTAATTTATCCTCCCCAGTAACAGCTTCCTCACACCCTTTCCGCTTTCAGTTTTGAGTTGGCGCACTTTCCCTATCTCCTAGGAGCGTCGTCGAGTCGAGCC